ACTAGCGACTCTTAACTACTTAAATTTTCACTGCTACAATATATTATGATTTCTACTGACTCACGAAAATTGGTCTATCACATAATTAAAGTTATTTACAGTTTGTGTATCCATGGAAACAGTGTGTAGTTGTGAGTGTACATTAATTGTCTACCACAATGTTGGTTCTAGAAAGGAAAAGTCATAGCCATGAAATTTAACCTGACATAATTTCAATGCCATGTGAATTTCACCTTGGTAGACATTATTATAATTTGCTGCCACTAAATGCACGCTAAAATGCAATTATCTCCGCTATTCAATGTTAAGCACCATCGCTTCCAGATTTAATAATACAGGTCATGCACGCATAATTAATTAAATGTCTACAAGACGAGCTGCAAAGTTAATTTCATGATATAGTGCGCTTGTTTCCATCTCAAAGAGTTGTGCATCTAAGCAGATAAGGTGGTTGGTAAAGTTATTGTTAATAATCTTTATCTTGACCTTCAACCTTCACCATCAACCAACAAATGAAATTAACTTTGCAATAATGGAAATGCATTGATCGCAAACTGTATATATTTGTAGTTGTTGTTCTTGCATGTTAAGGTAGATCGCTACCTTGCTGACATCATCCTAGCACATTGTGTTTTGTTTGTTGGCTGATCATGTTAGACCCACAATTTGGGTAACTGCAAAATATTCAAGTAAACTATAAAAACAGTGTGAAATGACACAAGAAAACCTTGCAACATGGCTGTAAAACACTACTTTCTGGCTCCCTATGCAGTGTATGCCAATAGAGGGCACAATTTCACATTATCAGTTGCTGTCGCTGTCTATGGCGACACTTGCTGTTTACGAAAACTCAACACTAAATCAATTGAATTATTTTTCTTTATTTCAAGAGTGACACTTGTGTAGACCAAAGGAAATGCATATCATGTTTTATTATCTCCAGTGTTCTATAGTTATAAATTTGGTTTATATGTTAGCTCATACATGTATGAATGTAATAGCGAATTCATCGTTTTAACAGTGTATATATATATATATATTTATATGTGATGTTATTTTTAGTCTCCTGTCTGGACACAGTCAAGAGTCTTATGGATTGGGTCCTGTCCATTGGTTTGTCCGGCCGTCCATCTGGCCGTCTGTCCATTGCAATATCTCAGAAGTTCATATATCAATTTTTTTCTAAACTTGGGACACGGTTGATACATGATGGTATACATATGCCCCAGATTTTGTTTTTGTTGTGCAGATATAAAAATAGCCCAAAAAACATTTTATATGTGTAGGACGTTATCTCCAAGTTATGCTGGCTGATCTTGTTTAAACTTTAAATATAATACTAAAGCGCCTTTTTTACCTTGCCCGTACCATCAAAGATGGAAGGGAAAGGTATATTAAGGGAAAAATTTTGTCCGGCGTTGTCGTCGTTGTTGTTGTCGTTGTCGTCGTCGTTGTTGTCGTTAATAATTGTTATTGTGTGCATAATAACTTTACTAATTCTATTCCAAACTTCATCACCTTATTCATCAGTATAATGTCTTCCCTGAGTTTGAACAACAGATGTCCTGTATGAAAATATCATGCAAAAATTGAGAAAATCTGATAAAATATTTTGACTGTTTCTACTTGACTGATCACTGGTGATACACATCAAAGGTCACTGATCTCAGTGGAAATATGCATTGTTGTATGTGTTCAATGAAGCAAATGATTTATCTTGTAATAATACAATGTATCCTTGGTAATATATCTCAGAATCCTATACTGGGTTTCAAAACCAACTCATGGAGAGATTGCACAGTCTGATACACATTTGTAAACCTACCAATAAAATCTTTATAGAAAACAAGATGTCAGAAAATCAATATAAGCACTCCTATGAACTGGGTGCCAAACTTTGATCAAGATCTGAAGCTTATAGAAAATCTGTTTAGTTCAAAGTTATCAAATCAAAAACAATACATAAAAAATACATAAAAAGCAAAACATTCCATCCACATTTTAAAAAGAAAATTG